AAGCAGGTCTGGAACTGGCACACCAGAAGACGGAGGCAGTTTTGCTCAGCAGTAGAAAGCTACGAGAAGTGGCCAAAATTAGGGCCTGCGGCACCGAAATAACCTCGACGGAGAGTCTAAAATACTTAGGCATTTTTTTCGATACTAGGCTCACATTTAAAGCTCATATCGAATCTGCAGTCGAAAAGGCGGAAAAAGTAGCAGCAAGGCTGTCCTGACTAATGCTAAACGTCAGGGGGCCTCAGCAAGAACGCAGACTTTTATATGTAAGTGTGGTTAGCAGCATTCTGCTGTATGGAGCACCAGTTTGGTCAACAGCACTGAAGACGAAATCTTACGCTCGCGAAGCTAGATCACTGTACCGACTTTGTGTCTTAATAGTATGCTGCGTTTTCCGAACAATGTCAGAGAAAGCAGCGTTAGTAGTAGCAGGTCTCTGTCCTATTGACATAGTGGCAAAAGAAATGGGTGCAATATCTGAAAAGCACGAGAAAGAAAGGGTGAGACGAAATTGTTTGCAGCAGTGGCAAAACCGCTGGGACCACTCAACTAACGGACGCTGGACATATAGACTTATTCCGAGTATAAGCAAATGGCTTGACAGAAGACATGGAGAGGTTGACTTCTACCTGACTCAAATACTAACCGGACATGGCTGCTTTAAAGCATACTTGCACAGATTTACGCACGAAGACGACCCGTACTGCACTTTCTGTACAGGGCAGGTAATCGAAGACGCTGAACATTGTTTTTCGTCTGTCCGCAGTTCGCAACCCAAAGGGACGACTTGAGCATAAAGGTGGGGAGGCCACTCAAGGTTGACAACCTAGTGGATATCATGCTTGAGTCAACAGAAAATTGGTCCGTTGTTTGTCATATGGCAAGCACTATCCTAAGAAAATTGCGTCAAGCGGAACAACTCCGCAGATCTTCATAGAAAGGCAATAGACCGCTCCCCCTCCACGAAGTAATACCTTGCGGTTGTTCCACGGAAGGAGGGAAACGGAGCAGGGGTGGGTTTTTAGTGCAGTGAGCCGAAACGCAAGTCCTTCCCGCCGGACAACGAACTTTCGTTAACTTTCTCCTTCTATATCGGCGTTTGTCCGGCGGTCCGCAACCAACGCGGGTTAATTTATTATGTCACTTCTAGTTTGAGTCTACACGGAAGATAACACGGAGCTGCCAGCGTCAGCGATATTCAAGTATTAAGGTTGTGGGCGCGCAGCATAAATATTCAGAGTTTATAATTTTTTTCTTTATATGTATATTTTTGTTTTATCGTCATATCGTTACATTACTGAATTCCATTAAAAGCATATGAACTTATTGAAAACATTGAATGTTAAATAACCACTATTATATAAACATGTAAATATGTATGTACAAATGCATATATGGTCATAATCCCTTAAGTCTTCTTGATGTACACTTTACATTATATTTGAAAAATACAAGTTCAGATCTCTCTGACTAACGAACGAAGCAACATATCATTTTTGTCTAATACCACCAATCAATTTAGCCTGTACTCTCCAGTCGATAATCTAATTCGAATTCTATAAAAAGGCTTACAGAATCTTCATGGCGCCCAAGCAGGGACTAAATTGATTGTGGTTGACAGTATCAGTCGCGCTTGCTTTTCGTTCGTTAGTTTCGTCGGACAAATTTATCGTCTTTTTTCCTTCGTCCATCCAAAATATACTTGCGGCGAAAGAAGACGTTTTTCATTTTAAATTGCATTTTTATAAGACATACAAAGTAAAATTGTATAGGGTCAGAGTGCACAATTACACTTGTGGCAGTCTTGCTGATCATCGTTGGATCAAGAATTTGCATCATTATCACCATTATCCGGCACTAAGGTGGCGATACTACGAATTGGACATACGGCCCTAGTAAATTTCACGTGGAACGTGTACATATGGTCATGGACACTAGCTCGGAAGATAAGGTAGCAAATGCGATTAAGGTGATTCAATAGTGTGGTTTAATATACATAGATGCATGTTCTAATATCAGCCGGCATAAGTTAATTGCCGAGATCACTTGAGGTGGTTTAAAATTGAAAAATGTTCCCTTAATCGCATTTACTGTGAATTTTTGATACATATATGTAAAGGATTTATGTATATGAGCTATACATAGTATATATACATACATCCATATAAATATATATAAACTGCACCGTAACTCGGCAAAATAAAAGAAAAACGGGTCGTAAATTCTGATGCAAGCGCGGGAAAAATCCACGAAAGTATACAGAATATCGGTGATTCTACATAATAATTTCCTCATGGACACTCTCGCGCTTACATTAACATCGCTCTGTACATGGTCGACTAACAGCATCATTGCAGCTAGCTGTTTAATGAGAGTTAGTACTGTTAATAAATTCGAACTTCAAATTGTTCATACCTAATATAAGAGCTTTGTCAAGAGCTACAGGCAAATTAAACATTCGAATGCTATAATATTGTTGGTATAAGCAAGAGGCTGAACACTGATATTATCGGTGCTTGCGTCGTCTCCACCTGTTTCGCTATGCGCGGTGTGCTACTACGTGGCTCTTGAATATTTCGCGCTGACTGATTGGGCATTACATTAGCTTACCAGTTTAGTTTAGTTTAGAGCGAGATCCGAAAGAAGATTGCTCTATTCTTATTTTCTTTGTTTCGAATATACTATTTAGTTGTTTAATAAATCATCCGCCTTTTTTACATCGCGTGTTGTTGCTTCTGAAAAGCCATAAATATCTTCTACTGACAAAAAGGATAAAACAAAAAAAAAATGACAGGTAAAAACGGTAGGCAGAAATCGCTTTTTACCGATAATCCTATGGATACATTAGAGCCATTAAAAAAGAAACGACAAATGCTTTTATTAAAAATCTTACGCGTGAAGAAGGCAGTCAAAGAAAAAGCCGTGTCAATAAATCCTACCGAGATAAAGTGCAGGTTAGACATTCTCAATTCTTATATTGAGCAAGCAATTTCTATTCAAGACGAATTGGATATTACATGTTCGAATGAGGCGGAGTCAGTAGAATAAGAAAATGCTTGTGTATGAACCAAATCATTGTTGCTATCTATCTTGGAAAAGCACCGTCTGCCTAACCCTCAGGAAACTTCTATGTCGGTTCCTCGGTGACAGGTAATAAGATCAACGGAAATAAGGTCAATTGACTTTATTTCCCACCCTGGTGCGAAATAAAGTCAATTGACATTATTACCTTTTTAAAAACGAAATAAAATCAATTGACGTTATTTCTCTTTCAAATATTAAATTTGCTTAGCTTCGCGGCGGCCCGCGTCAGCGCGCCACACCGCGCGCGTCGCGCTCGCTCTCGCGCCCCGCGTACCCCGCGCGACCGTGCTGTAACGCAGGTAGATTTATTTTTTGTATACGTTGAAATAAAATTTGTATATATTTTAAACATCGAGGGCTTATATTCAATAATACTCTCTATCTGCACACTTTTCACAAAGATGAGATTCTGATATAAAAATCCACCTAAGCTTTAACTGTCATCAGTGATATTAATGCTACCTTATATAACGACAGGTAATAAGTCCCAGATGGTTTCTAAAATCACAAATTAGTTTTTGTGCAAATTGCAGATAGAGGGTATTAATGAATTCAAGCCCCCGATATTTCACATTTTTATATTTGTAAGTTATTAGAAGCAGGGATGCCAACTTGTCTCAAACCGTGCCATTTGTCCCTATTTTACTTCAAATTGCACTTATTTTTTTAATATGGCACAAAGTGCCAAAATGGCACTTTTGTAAAAAAAATTACATTTCAATACATTTTTGTGAAATCCTTTGCGTGCACTTCTTTTTCTCAACTAAAATTTTCTAATTTATAAAGGCTATTCAACTGGTTTATCTTATTTTATCATTGCACTTTTGTTTGGAAAATGTAGCTTTATTTTATTGCTAAATGTGAATGATTAAAAGGCATGACACCTTTTTTGGCACTTTTATTTTTCTATTTGGCACATTTTGGCACTTTTTTATCCTCAATATGGCACCTCATAACTAAGGATAGTTGGCAGCCCTGATTGGAAGATTTCTGCTGTGTTTTGGGGCAACAACTTGTCTGCAGTAAAAAAGCATATAATTTGTGTTTCAAAAGTGTGTGAAAACCAATCAATTAACTTATATGATCTCGGTTCCGATATTAAATAATCAATAATTGTTTATACCCGCATTTTGGCACATTGGCTCGTTGAATGTGCCATCTAATAAATAGTGTCGTCATTCTCCTTAGCTGCTTTTAAATGATGTCGTCACAAATTGCTGGCGGAGACATGAATACAGTGTAAGAAAATTCTTTTTCTATAATTGTTTCCTTATAGAAAGGTTGGTTTCTTTTCCACCTTAGACATTCCGAATTCGTTCAAAATATGCTAATTTAAAACACAGAATTCTTTCAGTGTTCCTCCGGGGTTTTTGGACATGGACTGTTTCATCAATTTAATAGTGTTCGCTTTATTTTTGTGGAAACGAAACATGTTTTGCAAGTTATGGATCATTTCTACACTCTTTCTTCAAATATTTCTCGTATTCCAGCTGTGCGCAGGTGTTTAGTTTTTCGCATCGTGTTTTTACATATTCGTAATTTAAATTTTTTTAATAAAATCAATTGGTGGTAGTTCATGATTGTGTGTGGATTAATATCACAACACTGAGGATTTGGCTATAACCTTTTTCATCTATTAAAAAACAACACTTACGGGGCAATGTTTATTGTAAGAACAACATTTTTTTCTATGAATCGACATACTTTAAGCATTGTTGACGCTATTTCCATTTGAATGAGGAAATAGCGTCAATGACTTTATTTCCAAATTTTTGTTGACTTTATTTCGCTTTTGAAAAGGTAATAATGTCAATTGACTTTATTTCGCACCAGGGTGGGAAATAAAGTCAATTGACCTTATTTCCATTGACCTTATTACCTGTCACCCGGTTCCTCATCAGTCAAGGCTTCCTAAAATGCGTTTGCCCAAATTTAGCGGAAAATATAGCGAATTCAAAAACTTTATTAGCCTTTTCGAAAGCTTAGTGAATAACGATCCAAGTTTAACAGAAATTGAAAAATTCAATCACTTAATCTCTTGTCTGACTGATGAAGCGCTAGGAACAGTAAAAGCATTTCAAGTAAGTGAAGGTAATTATGCCAAAGCATTGGCCAGCTTGAAAAAATTTTATGACAACCCTTGTTTAATTTTTTTCGATAGTATATCGAAGCTTTTTGAATTGCTAAATATGAATAAGCCGAGCGTGTCATCGTTACGATCAATGGTTGATACTGTATCAGCCATTTACGATTCACATTTGGTAAGGTCAAAAGTCGACACTGTGACTAAGCATAAGTGGGAAGAACAACTTAATTATAATCAACTTCCATTGTGGTCGTATTGTGAAACAATACTTAACAAACGTTTCCAGCATTTATCCCCTGACGAAGCGTCACCATCTAGACTACAAGTAAATAAGCCCAAGCAAGATGCTGGCAATAAGAAAGCCGCCAAATCTTCGTATGCCTGCAGTAAATCTGCTACTGCACAAGATACTAAATGCCCCTTTTGTCGATCGAGTGGTCATTCTTTACAAAATTGCACTTCGTTTACTGTCTTATCATTTCCTTAACCCTTTCGACCCGGAACTCTACTATCAATGGTAGTTTTCAATTTATGGGTCCAATATGTTATTTGCCCCACAAATACG